TCCCTTCGAAATAGCGACTTGCGGCATGCCTTTGGTAGTCTAAAGGAGAAGAAGCCTTCTACTTCTGCAAATGGTATCCCTTTGAAATAGTGACTTGCGGGGAATGCAAGAAGAATGTTTCATGAGTAAATCAGGAGGACAGTGGTGGATCAAACCTCTGAATAACTCTAGGAATTTGGATGACGAAGGGAAAATATATTCTTTCCAGTGCAGAAGCTATGGCAGTTTAGCTTTGTGCTAGGAGAGGGCAGTAGTGGGCACCCTGCCCATCCTTCTTTTTAGTTCCGATGAGCGTCACTAATCCTTTCAGGTTTAATGAGGATCATACACAGACTACAGAGGAAGCAAGGAGATCTCTATATTTAGAGAGGTGTTCAAAGTAAACTTTGAATTGGTAAGCAGCCAAGAAACAATCGTAGCTTTCTCCTTCTTGTTGAATGCAATATATTTCTTTAAAGCACATCCTGTTATCTAATAACAGCAGTGAGAAGCACCCTTAGTATTTCTTGCTCATTTAACTAAGAAGTAGGAGGCCGAAGAACAAACTGTACAAGTTGCCAGGAATCAGAGTATGCAATGTTCCTTGTCTGTTTCTTTGTTTGTTTAAATGTACACAATAATAACTGTTTGTTTAAATGTACACAATAATAAAATCCAAATAAAAATAGAAATGTGTCAAAACATTAAAAACGGATGAAAAAGGCCACACTGTCAATAACAAACATGCACAATGGTCTGTTAATCAAGTCAGCTGAACAGTTATCCAGTGGACACAAGCAGTATACACTGTGCCCCAAGGCAGAGAATGGTGGATAGGGTCCAAAGTCTTTTATCTAGCATCTAAATAATCCTTCTAGCAGCAACCAAGTTTTAGCCTTCAAAGGCCTGTCTGATGAAAAATGGTATTTTGCTGTTGGTAGAAGAACAATGGAAACCTCCCTTGGCAACAGGTTACAGGGATGGGAGGAACAGCTGAAAAGGCTTTCTCCCTTTTCCTTGGAAACATGCCTTCCATGGTGAAGGGGCCAAGGGAAAGACCTTGCCATGTGTAGATGGGCATGTGTCCTTACTTGGAATTCCTAACCCAAAGATGTGGTAGCTGAGCAATGGGACTCCAATTTTATGGCTCTATAACTAACACCTAGCTCCAGCGAGACTGTCTTCCCGTCCATCTGTTTGAGTCACCTTGATGGTCTGTAAAGTTTGGCACCAAATCTGTCCAGTGCTGGCCACACAGATCTATAAAATGACCGCCGAGGTGCTAAGTGTCTGTCCTGTGAGGAGGATCTGATTTTCAATGGAGTCATCTTACTGACTTGTAAATTTCATTAGTCTGGCTCCTCATCTGGCTTCTATCCAAACTTTTAGATTGACTTGTTTGTTGTCGCTGTCTGTAACCTTCTGCCTTGCTGTGCCCCAAGCTATCATGTGCAACCTAATCAACAGTTTACTGTTAATTTGAGTGCTCCCTTCACAGGCCAGTTTTCTTCACCCTTTTAGCATTTGGTCAATTCTTCTGTACATGTGCTGGATCTGAGAACCACCCTTGTAAGGGAAAAGCAAACCACACCTCCCCAGAGGGGAGCTAGCATTCAGCTGCCTTGGACACCCTACACCAGTGCTCAATTGGGTTGGCTGTGGTGTTGGTGGTGGTCACACCCTTCTGAAATGTCAGCATCTCCTCCTCCACCTCTGTCAATTCCTTGAATGCCAGAGACATACTGCAGAACGAGGGGAGAGCACACGTCATGTTTGCTTTTGAATTGAGTGTGGGATCATTCTGGAGGAAAAGAAAAGAGCGGCAGAGAAGGAGGGAAAAGGAGGGGATCCCCTTGGACCAGTAATATGTCTGTAGTTTAATCCATACTAGAGGTGGGCAGACTTCTGTTTTTGAACTGCAATTCCCAACATTCTCCAGCCAGCATGGTCCAAAAAAGCAAATTTGAACACCTTTAATCCATACAAAGTCCAGAGTTTTGGACTTAATGTTTTTTAAAGCAACAAATTTATATCATGTGAATTTCCAGGGACGTAATTAAATTTCTGACTTGATAATACACATCAGTGCATGCCATTTAGTAACATAAATTTTAAAATCTTTATGAGAACTGCAAATACTGCAGATCAAATAATGGACTATTTTACGGGCTTCATTAGAAAAGTAATGATTGGAGAAATTGGTGGAGCTGGAGCAAAAGAAAGACAAAACATCTTCCTACAAATTGACAGCAGTCCATTCTGAAGAGAATGTACGCCATCTGAGTCACAATTCATGTTGCTTGTTTAGCTATGACCCAAGTAATGGTTCCCAAGTTGTGTTGCTTTTTTAGGATGTTGGAGGTGCTGATCCATGCTTGGCATCTGCCTGAGACTTTTCCTGCATTCCTCTTAGCTTTAGTTGAATGCTGATCTTAGGGGCCCTTGTAAGGATATGGGTTTTGCTTCTGCTGACATGCCTGTCGCCTGAAATCTTGGTTGCTGGAGAGAGATGAGAGCGCCTAGTGTAAGGTTAGGCCATTGTTTCCAGTGTCAGGATGGTGCAGTGTGGGCATTGAGAACTGTTATGATTAAGAATGATGTTCTGGAAAAAAGATTGTCTATTGTGTGGAATCATCATTCATTAAACACAGAACTTCTGGTTGTTCATGTATGGTTTTATAATCAGAAGAGGCAAAAAACCCAGAATCTTCTTTCAATCCATAACTGCCCTCTGTCTTCTGTAATGAGGGTGGTGTATATTTTGTGCTTCCCCCAAAATCTGGCTGAGAAGTTAGATTCTGTGTACATTTTAAGAATTGTTTATATTTTTCATGTTGCTGATCGGCAAATTGTTGTTTGGCAGTTTGCTAAACTGTAAATTCCTTGTAGATAATTAGTGTGCATTGTCTACAAAACAAGAAGCAGAATGAACCATGGCAAATGGTCATATTTTATTTCTAAGTTCTGCTGAAACCCACCTCTGAGGACAATCTACTGTTTGCTCAGAAAAGTTTCCATTTCTTCCTCTGTTGGGTTGTTATGGTACTTGACTCAGGAAGGTTCCTGGAGTCCTGACAATTCCATCAAAAGCCAGAGAAGATTGTCTCTGTCTTGCAGCTGCTACCCTGAAGGACATTGCATTTGCTGCTGTGCTGTTGTTTACCAAGCCACTGTCCAAGGGCCAAGAGTCCTGGTGGTTTGGGTGACAAATTGGCAGCCTTACATATATCTTTACATTCAGGATTCACACCATCATGTATACCATTGAGGAAAGACTCCACATGTAGTGTTTCTTTGTTGCTAAGAAGTAAGGTAAAGGTTCTCCTTGACAAATGTCCAGTCGTGTCCGAATCTAGGGGGTGGTGCTCATCCCCGTTTCCAAGCTATAGAGCCAGCGTTTGTCCGTAGAAAGTTCCTTTGGTCACGTGGCCAGCGTGACTAGACACGGAATGCCGTTACCTTCCCACCGAGGTGGTACCTATTTATCTACTCTCATTTGCATGCTTTCGAACTGCTAGGTTGACAGGAGCTGGGACAAGCGATGGGAGCTCACTCCGTCGCGTGGATTCGATCTTATGACTGCTGGTCTTCCAACCTTGCAGCACAGAGGCTTCTGCTGTTTAACCTGCAGCGCCACCATGTCCTACTAAGAAGTAGTGGGTGAGAATCCTTGCCTTCTATTCTACTGTGATTTGGCCTGAGGACTTTTACGTTCAGGGGGCAATTGAGGCCTGTTGACTTGGGTCCATTGGCCCTTACTCTCCCTACCCACTCTGGCTTTCTGGACTGTGCGAGAGGGGGGAGCGGGTGGATCAGAGCAAATGGTTGGGCTATGCAAGAGCCCAGCTTCTAGTCTATGCAGTGTTTCTTTTCATTTGCTGGAGTGTTGGACAGGGTATCCTTCCCCCACCCTATGCTAGTGTGAATTTTACATTCCAACCAGAACTTTGAGTAGGTTCTCTAGTAGTTTTATCTCCTGGCTTGTGGCTCCTCCTACAGACCCTGTTCTTCTGTCATCTGTAATTGATTCAGGGAGGGACATAGGCTCCATGGTGTGTATGCTTGCTGCCCGTTGCTTTGGTTCAAGGGTTAGAACACTGTTCTGTGGTGTTTACAGTGTGGTCTTAGTTCTTAAAAGGTTTGTTTCCTGTACCTGATAAATTACGATTTCCTCGCAAGTATGCAAAAGATGAGTAGAGACATACTGCTTCCTCACAGTTGGTCAGAATTGAATCTCCCACTTGCCAACTCCATGCCCTATGGAGAGAGCCACAGGAGGATGGTGTCCATGTGTATCTTCCTATTAGGTGACCTTCCTGTCCCTCTTGGCTACTCAACAAGAGAGAATTTCTCTCTCTCTTTTTGAGACTTGAACTGTTGTCCTGGCAAGGCTACATGAAAGTCCTGCCTGGATGAATATCTAAAATTTTACTGTTACAAGGTTGTTGTTGATGGATCCATGAGAACTCATGACATGAGAGTGCCATAGTTTCATTCTGTTGTCCTGGCAAGGCTACATGAAAGTCTTGCCTGGATGAATATCTAAAAATTTACTGTTACAAGGTTGTTGATGGATCCATGAGAGCTCATGACATGAGAGTGCCATAGTTTCATCGTACATGTTATGTGTGTGAGGAAAAGAATGCAAGAACATATCCCTATTATGTATTTGTTGGCTCATTCTGCTTGTGGGCATTGGCCACTCCCAGTATTTCCAAAGATGCCAGGTGTGCATTTATTGTTTTTTTTCCTGCCATTTTAAAAATCTTTGGTTTGTTTTTTCTTCCTGGGCTGGGCACACATAAGATACAGCAACTGTTTGGCTCTGCAGTGCTGCTATACCTCCAGTCTTAGTGTACCTCTGCTTGGGGTCATCCTGTTTGTTTGTGGGTTTTCTTGCCTGTTTTTTTGAATAGAAGATGCTTAGATTAAGGTGGCTTCAACTTTGTTCACTTTTCATTAATGTGGGTAGGAAGTCATGCATAGGTTCCCTCACCTCTTATGCATTGTTTTTGTTTCAGGTGGAGCCTAATGCCACCATAGCAGAGATCAAGAACCTCTTTTATAAGACTCGTATGTATGGAACAAATTTATTTGTGTGACTAAACATAGATCTTTTGTGGATTTTGTTTCCTCTTGATGGGATAGGTCTCTGTTGGAGAAAAGAGTGTGGAAATCATGGAGCAGCTTGTTTTATGAGTAAAATTGGTCTCTGGGAATATACACTCCTGCCATTTAAATAATATTTGTGAAAAATACTACCATCAATTTTTGCAGACCTTTTAAAGATCAGCAGCTGTGGTTCTTACTTCCATTGTTATATACATGGATTTGTAAGAATGGAAGGCTTGTAGAGATTAAATGTATTATTTACATGTTGGCTTTTCTCTTACTTTGGAGTACACTTTTCCAAACATAGACCTGCATATTTCATCTACTGCAGTATATGCTGTAAGTGGGGAAATACCAAGTGAGTGTGATGATCTGCAAATGGTATGTTTGTGGTTTACAAGAGTCAATATTATCTGATGTAGAGTGAAAATATTAGAAAGAGTTTTAATGGTGTAAAAAGGGAAGCTAAAATTGGAAGCACATATGTGCTTCCCTAGGAGTAAACCTGGCTAAGTACAAAACAGTACTATTTTGTGCTATAAAGTATTATTTTGAAATCTAGCATTTAAGATGCGTTTCTCTCATTCTTCTAAAAATTAAAATATTTCATGAGGGTTATTTTTTATTTTCCCTCCCAAATCTCCACTTCTTTCCCACAGATTACTTGGGGGGGGGCAGTTCCTTTAGATTTCCATCAGCCCCCCAGCCTTTGTGTCCCTAAATAGGCTATCATTCTTGATTGATTGCTAACCTGTGAATGATGCCTTTGGTCATTGTGGAAGTGGACCATCATAAAAAATGCTGTTTCCTCTCATCTATTGGAGTAGTCAACGTGGTCTTATTGGTCCTACATTTTGCAATGAAGAATTAGTAGGTAGATCACTAGAACTGGAATGGGCAGCTTTGATGAGTCTAGGAGTCAATTTTCCACTCCCTGGATCCACCATGGGCTTCTCCTCACAAATTGGGGGTAACTAGATGTCTTTTTTAAAATAGAAACCAGACACTTTAACCTCATTATAAACAGAAAAAAGGCATGTGAGGGCTGTGCACCTTGGTTTAAATGAAAACCATAACTCCTGAAGTGGCGTTTGTATTTGAACAAACAAAACAAAAAAACATTTTTAGGGGGCAGGGGAGCTCCAGTGGCACCTAAGTCAGGTGAGGAAGACTGCATTCAGCCTACCCTTACACTGGAGCATTAAGGTTTGTTGTGGGAGACCTAAGGCTCATAGAAGCCATCCTCCAGTAAAGCCTTTTTCGAGTCTCTCCTATGGGCTGAAACACTGTTGGAAGGAGAAAACAGGGTGCACTCATTGCATAAATAAGAATCTAATCTAGACTGTTTAAGAATAAAATAGTCTCTCCTACTTTTCCTTTCCTGCCAAGTCTTAAGATGGTGGGATAAAAAAATTATTTTGGATATGGAGTTATGTGCATAGGGCAGGACTAAAATGGAAGGCTAGCTATGTAACAAGGTCATGAATTTTCCACCAGTTCGTATTGCTTCTGGCTTCCTTTTCTATGTATCTACTAGGTTAGGTTTAAAGGAATGGCGAGTGCTGCTGGCAAGTTTGTTGTGATTTTTTCATTGCTAGCAGTTAATTTGAATAACGAATTCCCATTTTGATGTAGCTTTGATGCTGAATCTAGAAAAATCGTAAATCAATGGACTTGGATTAGTGTAGAAATGGGTACTTAACTGGTATGGGCTGATTCCCATATGGAAGGTCCACTCCTCTATATGATAACCTTGGAATAAGCTCCATTGCATTTGCTGGGCCTTAGTTCTGCTTAGACCTACATAGGATTGGATTCCAAAATAGCAAATCAAAAGTCTGGTTGGAGTAGAACTTTGGCAATGGGAAACCTGAGTTGTGAACATTGTTTTGAAAAGCCAGCATCTCTGACATCTCAAATGCTTGTGTAATGCTTGCAGACAGTCCTTGGGAATGTCCTGGGAACCATTTCTGAAAGGGTTGAAAATGTAATCCCCTTGAAACATTTTGAGGAAGGTGATTTGGCATTAAAAGACTCCTCTGCTTATAAGAGTAGTTCCTTTCAGGGCAGGACTGGATAACTTGCCCACCCCACCCCTGCCAGGTATTGTCAAACTAAATCCCATTACTGTTATCTGCGCTGGCTAGAGCTGATGAGGATTGCATCTTAGCATCAAAGGAGCAAGGGACGCTTTGCTCACTTCTGCTCAAATAATCATAATGTGCTATCAAGTTGATTCTGACTCTTCCCGGGTAACTCTTCCAGGTTTTTCTGGGTATAAAATATTCAGAAGTTATTAGCGCGTCCTCCTTCTCTTGGTGCAGGTCTTTCTTGAGAAGGTGATCAATCTGCTACACAAAAGCTATAAATAAATCCTTCAGGGAAGTGCCTTGAGCCAAAGGGACGGGACAATTTTTCTCCCATTAGATCTTCTGGGAGTCTCTTCTCTGGGGTGTACCTCAGCAGTAGAGCATCCCCACCATCATCATGTGAGGCCAGGAAAGACCCTGCTCTGAAGTCCTAGAAAGCCATTGGCAACTGGTAAATGACTGGCATGCTTCAGTGTAAGACAGTCTTCTTTTTATTTTTCCAGATCCTCAGTGGTATCCAGCCCGGCAGTCTTTACGACTAGATCCCAGTAAGTTGATGTCTTGTGAAGTCTCTTCTTCAGGGTCATGTGCCTTGAGAAGGAATTTGTCTTTTTTTTTTTTTAAAGTGGGCTGGTAGACTATGTGGCTAGAGTTGCTGAGCCTTCGATCATAGGAAGCAACTGACCTGGGAGTTTCTTACCTTGCTAATTTCGTGTGAGGAGCCTGTCTGAAAGGCTGTGCAGCCTGCAAGGAGCAGGCGGTTCTGGAAGTCCAGGTTTATGGCCTTTAATGAGAGAGCATACCTAAGCATTCATTATCTCTCTTGGAGACTTTCTCCTCTCTTCTGGACCCACTAGCAACTTCTTTCTGACTGCTGGGCAGCCAGAACTTCCCGGGCGTAAACTCAGAGAAGTAACTTTTGGTATCCCATCCTGTCAAGGTGCTTGAAGCAGCTGGGCTTCATTGAAACTTCTCCTTTCTTCCAGAGGGGAAGTCCCTCAAGGATGAAGACATTCTTCAGAACTTGCCAGTGGGCACAACAGCCACGCTGTATTTCCGGGATCTGGGAGCACAGATCAGCTGGGTAACGGTGAGTGTTCTTTGTGCTCCAAGAGAACTCTGCTGCTTGCCCATAGCTTTGTTTCTCCTCAGCTCTTCCTTGACCATTTTTCCTTTCAGGTCTTCCTCACAGAGTATGCTGGGCCACTAGTTATCTACTTACTTTTCTACTTCCGGGTGCCCTTCATCTATGGCCGGAAATATGATTTCACTTCCAGCAAGTACTCGGTTGTGCAGTAAGTATCTATAGGACAAGGTTGGCATTTTCTGGTTAACTTTTCTCAGCTGTGCAGTGCAAGTGCAGAGAATCACAGAACATAGTAGTTACTAGTACTCAGTTCCCATATAATCCACCCCTCTCTCATTAACTGGCACTTACAGTCTCAGTGACTGACACATTAATATAAAAACATAAAAATGTTCCATTTACTTACAAGTGTGAATATATTAAAATAAACTAACAACATGATTGTTTTTAAACAATTCTACTTCAGTATATATGACATTTTTTGTACTAACTACCACTGATAAATTTTGTTAGGAAAAAAGATTCTCTTAGCATAGAGGTGGGGCTGTCTTAAGAGTTCGGATGCAGAGGAGAGAACTGTTGGTTAATGCTGGACTGAGTGGTTGTTACTCCCAGCCTATAAAGATGCCTCCCAGTCAAAGAAGCTGGAAGGCAGCCTGTAAAGTTGTAAACTCCCAACACTTTTAGATGCTAATATTTGCTCTGTCTGACAGCATACGTACAGATGTTAAAAAAAATCTTTGCTTCGTTTGTTTAGAGTTTTTTTTTCAGCCTCCATTTTATGTAGGCATCAGAAAACCCCAATTTCAGAGCACGAGAGGAAAGCAAACACTGTTTTGAAAAGCCTCAACACTGATTATTCATTTCTCAAAAACCTCTTTCCCTAAGAGGACAGTGGGAGGTTTACAGCAATACCTTTTAGCCAAAAATTCTGCATCAGTTTGTGCCTCTTTTTGAAATTGTGTCACAGCTGGGTAGATGACTGACAGGGCCACGCAGTGAGCTCTCTGAGGCACAGAGACAGTGTTGTAATAATATGTTTTGGCACGGGACTTCGGAGGTTTCAGTCCCTGCTGAGCCATGAGACGTAGTGGATGACTTTACGTTAGTTACTCTTTCTCTGCCTGACATCTAAAAGAAATGTTGTGAGGCTAATGTGAGAAAGAGAACAATGCATACAGCCGTGATCTGACTGGGAGAAATGTGGGATAGATATGTAAAAAATGAATAAGTGAATTGTAGTCTTCCCTAGCTTCAGCATGTATTGGTTTATGTTCAAGCTTCACACAATTTCTTGGGGCACTTAATCTTTGACCCTGCTTGGTCCTGTTGCCTCCTGAAGCTGATTAAGAACTTCAACAAAGGCCTGGCAAAGGGAAACTCAAAATGTAAAAGCTGAAAGCAAATTTGAGGAGAGTGGTTTGTAACGTTCCTTCCAGATGATGCTGTTTAAAATGTGACAGAATGATGTAAGTGTTCCATTGGTAGATCATACAGTTTAGTCCCTTCTCTCTCCTCAGTCTTCTGTTTTCCTTTCCAGCCTGGCTTGCATTTGCCACTCTTTCCACTACATCAAACGCCTCTTGGAGACTCTCTTTGTCCATAGATTCTCTCATGGGACAATGCCCTTGCGTAACATCTTCAAGGTGAGTAATGTGAAACTGAGATTAAGCAAGGAAGGGCAAGACAGGGCAAGTCTGATGCGGGCATTCCACAAATGTCACGCATGGTGTTTTCAAGGGAAATATGGCATTGGCTCACCTTGTGTTTTCTTGTTTGAACCCCTCCCGCCATACCACCCTGAACACACATGATCTTTGGTTGGACTCAATGGCCTTACAAGCACCTTCCAACCCAATTCTTCTATGATTCTGTGGTCTCATCTGATTTTGGAAGTTAAGCAGGATTGCATCCGTTTAATGCTTGGATGTCAACCCTGAGTGCTCACTGGAAGGACAGATCCTGAAGCTGAGGCTCCAACACTTTGTCCATCTCATGAGAAGACTCCCTGGAAAAGCCCCTGATGTTAGGAAAGTGTGAGGGCAAGAGGAGAAGGGGACGACCGAGGATGAGATGGCTGGACAGTGTCTGCAAAGCTACCAACATGAATTTGACACAACTCCGGGAGGCAGTAGAAGACAGGAGGGCCTTGTGTGCTCTGGTCCATGGGGTCACGAAGAGTCAGACATGACTAAACGACTAAACAACAACAACAAATGTTTGGATGAGAAACCACTGCATAATTACCAGAGCTCTAGGGAAAAATACTACCTGAAACTCTGAACTAATCGCTGTTAGTCAGAATTGGCATCCTGGGCTAGGTGGACCAGTGGTCTAATTCAGTATAAGGCGGCTTTCTACGCTTCTGTGTTTCTAGACACTGAGAGAGTTAGCATATCCTTCTTTTGCTGTGTCTCCTCCAGAGAATTGTTTCTTAGTGTGTTGTTTTTGATTCTTTCTCCAGAACTGCACTTACTACTGGGGCTTTGCTGCCTGGATGGCATACTATATCAACCACCCATTGTATACGCCACCTGGTAAGTTAATAATAGATGGGGAAGCCGGAGTCTGGGATGTCAGCTGTCCAAAGAGCCCAAAGGTTCCTATAAGTTAACTGTCTGCTGTGGCTAATGAGCAGTTGCTGCTAATGAGCAATTCTATTGCTAATGAGCCACATTTCAGAGAAATCTGATCAGAGCTTAGATATTCTTCTGAAGTTGGGAAGGTACTTTTTCTTAAGGCTGGCAAGAACATTCTGAGAATTGGAATTAAAGAAGAGCAATGGATATGTAATTTACCAGTTGAACGGCATTCACTCATTCATATCCAACCTTTTTACCAGTAAAGGGTTCAACGTTTGCTCAAGTGAGGTATACACAGTCCATGTGCTCTCCTCCCGAGAGATAGCTTTGTCATTCCTTCTTCCCTGCCATTTCAAGATTCCTAGGACTACATAATTGCTTGTGAGTTGGTATTCCTGGCCCACTGTTGGTTTACCCTTTCTTTGCTGACTTCTAAATACTTGGAAACTGACAGCAGATCCTTTTACTTAGATGTTTTAAATGTTAAAATGTCTGTTTTCCTTGTACACATTCTCAGTCTGATCCAGTGGCTGAAATCCTGTTAGTGTAGTAAGTTTCATTAGACTAGGCCCATTGAATTATTGGGATTTGGTGAATCAACTCCTCCAAAAGGTCCATTGACTCGAATGGAGCTACTCTAGTTTCAACTTACTGTGTTACAACTAGAGTAGAACCATTTGAATCAGTAGAACTTGCAGAGGTGTTGATTCACTAGATTCCCACTGATTCAGTGGGCTGACTCCAGTGCTATTTACTACTGTACACTAAATAGGATTTCAGCCTATATCTACTTAATGAGGAAGAAGAAAAGGCACAGATGCTTTTATAGTAATTTAAGTGAAGATCTGCAGCCTTTCTCCCTGTTTCTCTTCCTTTTAACTTGAATGCAAGCTCCATCGTGTATACATGTCACAAATGTAGCTACTGTAATAAAGCTTCATCTCTGGCAAACTCAGCAGAATTCTGTGATCACTGTGGAATCTGTTGCTTTGTAGGAACATACCAGTTGTTCCTTCTGCCCCTGCTATTTACAGTATATGCATTTTAATTTATTTATTTGATTTATATACTGCCGATCTAGAACGTGTCTACTCTGGGCGGTTATCTGAACATGTTAAAGTTTTTCTGTTATTGTCTTCTCTATCCCTGCTCTACCCTTTTTCAGCATATGGACTCGAACAAGTGAAACTGGCACTTATCATATTCTTGGTAAGAATTTGTTAGATCCTTGGGGACAGGGTGGGCTAGCCCATGTAGGATTGAAGACCCTAGTGGAGACTTATGGAAGAAAGTGGAGGAGGAGTGATGTAAAAGTGAGGTAGGCTCTGGCATGCAGGTTTTGGAACTGTAAGCAAGCTTGGGGTGGAAACTCACCCGACAGAGGCAAGCGCGGAAGCTTGAGGCGTCCTCCTGGTAAAAGCACAGCTGCACAGTAGCCAAGGCCACCTGTTTGTGGCACAGGGCCAGGGTCTCTGTGGGTGTTGAGAGAGAGGCAAGGTGGATTGCCACAACAGGCAAAGGTGTAGCTAGGTCACTACTGTTTGAACTCTAGCAGGGATCATACATCCCAAGGTAACTAAAAAACAGTAGGTGTGGCAATAGGTGCCCAGATTGCGAAAGTGAGAAACCGGTTTCTCTGCCTACTAAGTGTAGCCCAGCTGTACGTAAGATGTGGAGAGAATGTTACAATAAATTCGAAGATGGGTCCCTGTCTTACAAGGTAATGTAAAGACAACAAAACAAAACCCAACAATAGGAGAAAGAGAGTGATAAATATGGAGGAATACTCTGTGACTTCAATTGAACATGCCTTGGTTGAGTTATGGGAGGGAACTGGCTCTAAGGGGTAGTTCCTCTGAATCCATGCTTTCTTGATTTGATCCTGGGCTTTATCTTTGTAAAGCTCCAAAGCCTCTTCCCAGAATAGGTGACAAACAAGGAACTGTAGCAGGAGAGAGCAGAGCACCCCTGTGGGAAAAGATCACTCCCTGTCTCTCTTTCCAATCTAGTTTTGAAAAATTAGTTTGTTTATTTATCAAAAATGTTTATATCCTTGGTCAGAATTATCTGGATATGCTAAACTGGATGTTCTTGAAAAAAATTAATGAGAAATTGAAGATTGAGTGCTCAGCTTTCTAGGTATTGATCCTGGATGTTTTCTCCTGCAGTTCTGCCAGCTGGGAAACTTTTCGATTCATATTGCTCTGAGGAACCTGCGCCCTGCTGGTGGGTAAAGTAGAAGGTCTCAGGAAGTGCTTCCCTGGTCTCTACAGCAGTCTTTCAGACAAACACCACAGAACTGGGCTGTCAGTCTTTTGGCCACAGCCATAAATGTAGGCTGAATCAGGATTGTATAACAAACCTTATAAGGTGGTGTGTGAAGAATTGTGTCCCATCTGTAGCCCCCTACAAATGTGCCAGAGCCCCCAGGAGGGCCGAATGGCCACTATAGATTATCAGGCTGAAGGGATATATGGCCCAAGAATCTGCTGGCCAAGATTTCCCTCTAAAGTGTACGCCTGTCTGCATGTGATTCTGCCCCCTCCGTGCAGGGATCCTCCTCCGCCTGCATACCTGTGATGACAATTTTCAGCCCCTTTAGTCCTGGTTGCAATGGAACCCCGCGTGGGAGGGTTGGAGTCACATGTGCATGCGCAAAGTTGTGCACATGAGGGTCAGAGGCTTCCATAGTTGGGCTGAAAATTAGAGAGAATGTTGCTGCTGGCCCATAGCTAGTTAAATTTAAAGTGGTGTGCCTTTGAGATTTGCGCAGGCCTGAAGGTACTGCTTAAGAGTGAGATTTTGGTAAACTTGCATTATTTATTCTTTTAATATTGATGGGGTTTATAGATCTTAGTGTTCTTTAAAAATCCTGTTAAAGAAAAGGAACAAGCCAGATTAAAACTTTAGGTTGTTTAGCTAACTTAACTAACCAGTTCCTTTTAGATCATGATCTCTGGTTCACATGTAAGGCAGGATTCTATAAAAAGTGAAGCAAAATGCTGTGTAAAATTCTCATTGCAGTTGCCTGGGATGAGGAGAAAGGAACGTGCAAGCCCAGGGCTTGGCTTTGATTTGTTCCAGCTCATGCCTGTAAAACTAAGCCAGGAGTGGGCAAAGTACAGCTCTCCAGATGTTGTTGGACTGCAACTCCCATCAGCCTTAGCCAGCAGAACCAATGGCAAGAGATGCTGGGAGTTGGCAGTCCAGCATTGTCTAGGGCTGCACTTCTGTGTACCTGCAGTATGAGCTGAATCCTGCCTTAGCATCACAGGTTCAATGAAACTGTGTTTCATGAAATTAATTCTTCTTCATTCTCTCCAGGTTCCAAGACCAGGAAGATTCCATATCCCACCAAGAACCCCTTCACATGGCTTTTCTTACTGGTCTCCTGCCCTAATTATACCTACGAGGTGAGAATGCGGTACAGAGCTTTATAGCAAATTGAAGCAGATTGCATGGGGAGGAGGCCCTTGCCTTGCTGTCCGGTATCTTGCTATGCAGCTCCTCTCCATGTAGAATGTTTGGCTAATGTGTTAAGAACAGGAAGATCTAGCAGGACTGAGCGAGTCTGTGATTCTCGTCTCATACAGGTTTATGTTAGACAGGCTTAATATATACAGTGGGGTCTTGACTTGAGAACTTAATCCGTATTGGAAGGCAGTTCTCAAGTCAAAAAGTCTGTAAGTCAAGTCTCCATTGACCTACAGTGCATTGAAAACCGATTAATCCCATAACAGGCCGTTTTTGGGGAGGAGGCCCTTGCCTTGCTGTCCGGTATCTTGCTATGCGGCTCCTCTCCATGTAGAATGTTTGGCTAATGTGTTAAGAACAGGAAGATCTAGCAGGACTGAGCGAGTCTGTGATTCTCGTCTCATACAGGTTTTTGTTAGACAGGCTTAATAAATAGCTGTATACTTACCTGGAGTTGGCGCCAGAGAAGTCTGTAACTCAAAAAGTCTGTAAGTCAAGCCGTCTGTAAGTCAAGGGTCCACCGTAGCTGTATACTTACCTGGAGTTGGTAAACGCATAAATTCAGTGTGAAGTGCCTTGTTTGCCTTGCTCAGTGCCATCCTGAGCTGCTGTTTCCCTTCTCTTCCAGGTGGGATCCTGGATTGGCTTTGCTATTATGACTCAGTGCCTTCCAGGTAAGTCCTTTGCAAGTAGAATTGCCCTTTATTGTGGGGTCAGATGGGTTCCATGTATTTAAAGAAGCAGAGTTTGCAAGAGCTGAGCAGGGCTGTTGACGACAGGACATTCTGGAGATCACTCAGGCTGCCATATGTCGGGGGCAACTTGATGGCACATAAGAAGAGCCAAGAGAACTGGATACGAAGACTAGGTCACAGAACTCAGTAGTCTAATAAGCACCATCCCTTTCCTCATGATGGCAGAACTTAAAAAGTTTGTCGTCTTCCACATGCTTTTGGTTGCATTGCTTTTCTATTTATGGCACATGAGAGCTGGCAGTGTTCTCATTCCTTCTTGGCATGTCAAGTGATACATGCACTAACAACACCTGCCTAGGCAGTCACTTCAAGATGTTGTCTTCCACCAACTAGGGTCTTAGGGATGTATCTCATGCCTTAATGCTTAGTCATTGCGTGGTGCTTCTCCTTGTGACACTGCCCTTAGTTTTTGATTGATTCTGTAAGACAGGCTGGACATCTTGGGATGATTTACTTACAAGATCATTAAGGATACAAGCACTTCCTGGTGTCCAGAGGTCCATCTGGTCCTGACTTGCCCTCCAACAGTGAATAGACGGAAGCTCTTGTGAAGCCCACCAGTGTACCTTGAAGTCTAGGGAACTCCAGCAGTTACAGTCCAACAAAGGAATGTTTCCATGTTCTGCTCTGGATCTGCTAGTATAAGATAAGAAAATAACTGACATCCTAAAGTAGCAGATTCCACCTAGTCCACAGATACATGGAGTCAGCTGTTGCTCAGCTTCATTATGTGGGCCCATATTCCAGGACTTAAAAGGTTGTCACATAGCAGTGACTCAATCTGACTGGCTTGAATTGTCGAAGTGCAGGTTTGAGTTAAAATGTAAGAGAACCTTCCTGATGGTAAGAGCAGTTTGACAGTAGAATGGAATCAATATTCTGTAGAGGGAATTGTGTAAAAGCCACAGTGGCCTGCCTAGATGGAAGTCTTCATTGGAGGCTGGACAGCTGCTTGGTCAGTATAGTCTGACTCTGGGCTTAAATGGTACACCCAGCCTCTTCTAACTCTGATTCTACTGCAGGAATAGGTAACCTCCTTTTTTCAGGATCGCATAACCTCTGGATGTCTATTGGTGGTAGGCAGAGCTAAAGCCAACAGTGGGCAGAATCAGAGCCAAATTGGGTGGCTGTTTCTTGCTGTGGCTCATTATTCCCACCCACTCCTTTTCTGTCTTGCCCAGTAGACATCCAAAGAAAAAATGGTTTGTAAGTGGGTTTTTGAAATTATGCCAGGGGTGATGTGCTTCCCACCACAGTTCAGCAGGATGTTGACTAAAGTAGGTGTGGCTATCTGAAAGTGCAAGAGTTGTGAGGTGACTTGATTGATCGATCAATGTACTGTAATTTAGTGCCTGTACTTGCTATAATAACATATTTGCAGTTTTCCATCACCTGGATTTAACTTCTTGCTTACACGCTCATGTATCATCGAAGACTTGTAGATGTTTGGTAACGTGTAACATTCTCTTCTTTGTCAATAGTGGCTCTATTCTCCCTGGTTGGATTTATCCAAATGACCATCTGGGCAAAGGGGAAACACCGAAGTTACCTGAAGGAATTCCGGGACTACCCCCCACTTCGCTCACCCATCGTCCCTTTCCTGCTCTGAGCCAGAGGCAACTGCCTCTCGGTCTGGGCCAGTTGTTTTTTTTAAAAACCTTCTGAGCGGCTGTTACTGGAGTCTAAATTGGGCTGTTTCCTTCTTGCCTGCTTGTGATCTGGGGAAAGCTGGGGATTCCTTGCTTCTGTAAGTTATTAGCCACAACTTTTTATCCTTCCCCTGACTTCCTGAGCTTGGAATCACCTTTCCCTACAAAGACCATGAAGCTAAGCACTGCAGCAGGGAACATAGGAAACAATCCAGTTTTACTGGAGACTGGCACCACTGAACCAGGTGCTAGGTATAACATTTGCAAGGCCAGGTGCCAAAAACCGAAACTAGGCAGCTGTACCTTACTCCAAAAGGAAGACTTTCTTCTCTACTTAGGCTGTGCAGGAGAGCAGGCATTAGCTATTGCTCATTGGTCAAATTCTGGAGTCGTCTGTTCGCCTAGCTTTCCTTGGCCCTCTTGTGGCAAATACTGGTAGGGCATAAGTTTACTCTTGCTTTTTGTCCTGGAATGCTTTCCCTTATTCTGAAAGTTCTTAGCAGCTTTCCCGGTGGGGTTGAACTAATAAGGCCCCTTGAAGAGGCTGCCTTCGTCTTGCATAGCATGGTCTTGTGCACCTTTGGGCCCTTGTGCCGCTAATGGGCATTGGCATTTGAGACCTACATTTTAAAGCAGACCAGAAGGGGTATGAGGGAGATGCCACCGCTGTGTGCTTTTCAGGCAAAGTTGGTAGAATTATTCTAGCCACCACAGTGGGTGATGAGGGGCACAGTTAAGGCCAGGTATGTGGGGGTTGCAAGAGAAGACACTGCAACGGAAGCAATTGGGGCAAGGCAGGTGCAGTGCAGGAGCATTGTGTGGGTGCGTCAGTAGCCCCCCCCCCACTGCAAGCCAGCACTGTCAATTTTAAGCATAAATGCCTCTTCCCGTTTGTGACTTGATTTTAATTAACATTAAAGCCACTATGTCCTTTCTCAGTATCCCACATGCTAACCAAAACTATGCTTCAGTTTCCCTTAAGATCTAATGGGGTAGGCCTTCTTTACCCAAAACAGGAGATCATTAATATGCGGCTCTTAAAAACCCACTGGCTTTTCACCATAAGTTGCTACCTGTTCTGTTGCCAGTCATTTTATGCATCTTGTGTCCTCTGCAGGCCCGGTTCCTTCCTAGAAGTGCTTATTAGGTACAGAGGTTATCAGTATTGTTACAGAAAGTTGTAACTGCACTGAGAACCTCTTGCAAAAAGACTGCTTTGAAGCAAAGCTTGCAGATATTGCTAGCCAGTATTGTTTTAAAAGGCCTCAGTTCTTATAGGGAAACATTCAGTGTGATTGAAATGAAGACTCTAGGCTTGATGGCCTCCCTTGGAGAAACTTTTCTCTTTTCTTGTTTGTCTTAATGTTAAGAGTGTGATCCTACACATGCTTAGGTGGAGTTAGCCCTTTAACACAGCATGACTTACTTCTAAGCAAGTGCCTCGGATCAGGGTGAAAGTTCGCAACAGTCTTAGTTTATGCTGCGTGTGAGCAGTAAGATCCTGGAAACCTGCAAGGCTCCACGGCAGCTGTTTAATATGAGCCACTTGATTACCTATGGTCTGTTTCATGTGGAACTGTCTTCTTGGAACCATACCAATAAAAAACAGTCCTTCCATTGGTCAGGGTTACCCTCTTTTTTGTAAATCAATGGGGAATTGCTTGCAAAAAGACTTCTTTCAGCTAGGGAAGGGCTATGTGCAAGGAGACACATCAGTTCCTTACTGGATTATCCTGTCTAAAGAGGAAGCAATGTAACATGCAGAAAGGCAGATGATAGCCAAGCAGTGACAACAGAATACCGTGTTTCCCCGAAAATAAGACAGGGTCTTATATTAATTTTTGCTCCAAAAATGTATTAGGGCTTATTTTCAGGGGATGTTTTTTTTCATGTACAACAATCTACATTTATTCAAATACAGTCATGTCATGTTCTTCTGGTTGCTGCACGATGGTGGAAGGTGGGGTTTCACTTAACGGGGGCTTATTTTGGGGGTAGGGCTTATATTACGAGCATCCTGAAAAATTATACTAGGGCTTATTTTCAGGTTAGGTCTTATTTTGGGGAAAACAGGGTAGGTCTGATAGAGCTACACTCCTTACATGAACGGTTAGGTCTTATTTTGGGGAAAACGGTAGGTCTGATAGAACTACACTCCTTACATGAATAGAAAGGTGGAAGGGTGGGCGGGCACAAGAGCCCTAAAGCAGAGACTACTCTATGTATATTACTGCATGATTTTGCAAGCCTGCATGATTCTGCTTTCCAATGGTATGGAATGCAGGTTCCCTGTATCAGACTTGCTCACCCTAAAACATGAGATGTATCAGGGCAGGAATGAGTTGGGTGCTGAACATCCCTGTGCCACTCATAATTACATTAAAAATCTTAATGCCATTTGAGTTGTTATTAAATTAATGAGAGTTAAATGGAGTAGCAAAGCCTGAGTTAAATGGAGTAGCAAAGCCTACTCACCATGTGAATGTTACTTCATCATAGCTAATGGAGGAAGTATAGCTGGTAATGGTGGTCACCAAGATTCCTTTGAATTCCTTGCTTATCTAGAAGCACTAGATAAAGAAATTGATAGCTGTTAATGGTGGTCACCAAGATTCCTTTGAATTCCTTGCTTATCTAGAAGCACTAGAAAAAATTGGTATTTCTGACTGACAAGACTGGTGGACAACGGGATGGAAAATTTCTATATAGGGAAGTTTCTAAAAAGCCATATAAGCTTGAATTTATCACAGCATTTTCACAAGATTCCACGTACATTGAAAACCATTTAATCCGTATCTGCACCACCACCCCGCCGCCGCCGCCTCCATCTGCCGTACCTTTGTGCCGGATGCTCCTCTTCCAGTCCTTGGCGGTCTCTCCACCCAGGAGAGGATGGGGGTGGGGGGCTATTTTTAATGAAAAATCAAACTCTTAAAGATTAAGGGGCAAATATTCAAGTATTTTTCAATCTAGGGCAAAGTATAATATATAAAGCATTCTGTAAGATCCCAGCAGGGAAGCAGTGCATTGCTCTGTGTAGAAGGACTAGTCCAAACTCCATAGCCTCTTCAATTTCTGGGCCAATGGAAGATGGTGTCTGCATGTATTGAAAGCTTTCGTGCAATTAAGAAATATTTCAGTGAATAGTAGCTATTCATTTTCATTTTCAGATTCTATATACTAGGCCCATACTACGACATCTAACTATAATGGTTCTTAGCACAGAGGAGCTGACAACAGTGTAGTTTTCAAGGCAGCTGTATCTGTGTGTTTCCCAGATAGGAAAAACTTATCCACTAGAGCTGTACCTGTAGCTCAGTAGTAGTGGACCAGTTATTGCTCCATGGGTGCTCATACACAACCCTCGCCATTCTTGCTTTATGACATACAACAGATACTGGAAGAAGAAATAACACTTTCCCACACTTGGTGTCCTTTCCATCCTAACTGCACTCCACCTGTTTAGCACGGGAGGGCATCATTTATTATAAGGATGGCGGCACATTGGGTGAGTCTTCCCTGATTTGATCCTTCCCATGCAGTCCACTCCACTGAATATGAATGATTCCCATGGGGAGATGGTAGCTTGGGCACACACGCAAGTCACAGAGGGCCTGCAAAGGTCACCCATACGGATGTGAAGTGAATGGCTCCCAAGTCAGTCTGAACCAGAACCTAACAGTAAAGCTTTCCCACGGTGTAGGTGCCACAAAGTTTGGCTTCTTTAGGCAAGCCTGCAATTTGCTACCCACACGCAGGTGCTGAAGGCTTCCCACCCTGCCCTAAGGACATCACTTCCCCGCTTAACTCCTTGCATGATTGTAATACAGTCACTCCTTTTGTCTATACTGCACAGAGCAAAGCATCAGCTTCCAGCTCAAAAAACAGCAATCGCCAACCAGGCCAAAACAGATATGCATTTATGCAAATCATGCAGGGAGACACCAGCTGCACTCAGGAAAAGGATGAGTGTTAAGCACAAGGTGTTCTTCTACACCACTTTTCACATCGTCTGTGCTTCCAAAAACCCACCAAGGGATCCTTACCCACTACTGCAGCCATGAGAAACCTATGGCCCTCAAGCTGTCAGACTACATCTCCTACACTCCTTGGCTGCTGTGCAGAGTATTGATGGGAGATGGAGGCCAGCCATATGAAAGGCCAGTCCCCCATTCTTCTCCTATTAAAACTGTTCTAAGAGAAGGCCATTTACACTTGAACCTAAAATGGGCCATCTTCAGATTCTTCACTATGAAAAACTTCACAGCCTTAAGAGCTAAATGCATTCATTAGTTCTAATGAATATGCCCCACACCATCCACTTCATTTCATAAATGACCGTGCTTATTTCAGACCCTGCTACAGGTTAATGTGTTTTATTATTTTCTATATAAAGAGACACATAGGATTCCACAGGCTTCTTGGGGAAAGTGCCAGGAAACCCACCACAGTCAGTTACAGAGTTTCCGCTGCAGCTGCTTTTTCCTTCTGTTTAATACGCTTCTTCCTAACCAGCAAACGCCGCTCCCGTTCATATTCCTTCATGCGCATAACATAACTGTGGGAAAACACACAATTAGAGGTGAGTTCTGGGCAACTGATCCCAACCAAGCCATCGTGTTTCTTATTGCCATGTACAACGGTTCCCATATTTATTTATTTATTTATTTAAAATATTTTTATCCTGCTTTTCTCCTTAAAAAGAACCCAAGGTGGCTTACATCATTAAAAAGACAATATTTAAAAGCTAAAAACAGTAGGTATACAAAAGAATTAACAAGTATCAATTATAAACGGTAATAAAATTAATGCTAAAACACATTTAAAACAACAGAGCACAGCAATCCATTTAAAAATCTCTCTCAGACCAGAAGAGATTAAGGTATAAGGCTATCCCAACTTGTTTGTATTCTGGACTAAGAATCAGTTTTAGTATATGTGTATTTGAGCTCTGCTCCTTTCCCCAAACATGTAGTCTCAAGCCGACACAGCCTTAACTAGGCACTCTAGTTTTAATTTAGTTCTAAAGAAAATGTTGCAGAAAACATTGGCCAGTTTGGGACTCCTTCATACATTCAAGGACTTATGTAGACAGAAAGTGGGTTCCTTCTGTACCGTCAAGAATGTTCCAACATAACAACACTCACCCTGCATTAAGGAAGCTTAACAGACCACCCTATTAGACTACTCCCAGACTCACACCAAGGGGGTTGTGACAAAGACAACCTTCACCCCAATCCACATTACTTCTTCCAGCTCCTACTGGATGTTCATGTTGAGAAAGGAATACATTTCTAGGCCCACCTTCCCCCAACAGATGTACTGGGCTACAATTTTCCAACAGCCCCAGCCAGGACAATCAAGGGATATGCTGACCAAAGTTGATGGCACTGTAGTCCAACATATCCGGAAAGTAGCAGTTAAGGAAGGCTGTTAGAGAATCCGTCTGCAATTGCAACGTGACAGATACTCTGAACCACAGCTAACTGATCAAGCGAGGAAGAAATTGACAAAGGTAACAAGAAAGAAGGAAGCATAGCTCGGACTTACTCCTGGTACTCGCAGTAGTCCCAATCGTGCTTCTCATGTTTGCATCCAAAAATATTGGGAAATTTGTCACGTCTGCACTTCATATATTGAATAAGGTAATGGGCACAATAATCCCGCTGTTCTAGAGGAATCTGAGCATCAACCATCTGCTGCCATGTTGCTAACATCACTGTGTGAAAATGAAGGGAATGAAATGGAGAGAAAACAGATTAAGATCCAGAAACATGCTCCCCACCAACATCAGTCATTTTAAATCTACTAATGCTGGGACTAGTTTGTGGAGAATAACCTGTACATTAGTTTTGCTGATAAGTATTTGACAGACCATACAAATTCACAGGTCGTGCTAGTTTAAAGACAGAAGTATTTGAGACTCAGGACAGAAGAGCAAACAAGTAACATACTAAAAAACATAAGCAACACCAAAACACAATCAAACAGTAAGGTACAACAATCTATTTAAAACCCCACCCAGTCATCATAAAACGCTAGAAAAACAGTGGAATGTGTTAAAAGCAGGCTGATTAATGTCAGAAAAATGAACTACTATACGTGTGGTTTAGAGATTTATGCTAGATAAGAGCAGGAACTGACAAATGCTGAATGAAGTCTTGATTAATTGCTTCCAGAATTACTGGACAATGTTGTTGTTTAGTTGTGTCCGACTCTTCGCGACCCCATGGACCAGAGCACACCAGGCCCTCCTGTCTTCCACTGCTTCCCGGAGTTGGGTCAAATTCATGTTGGTAGCTTCAGCGACACTGTCCAACCATCTTGTCCTCTGTCATCCCCTTCTCCTCTTACCTTCACACTTTCCTAACATCAGGGTCTTTTCCCGGGAGTCTTCTCTTCTCATGAGATGGCCAGAGTATTGGAGCCTCAGCTTCAGGATCTGTCCTTCCAGTGAGCACTCAGGGCTGATTTCCTTTAGAATGAATAGGTTTGTTCTCCTTGCAGTCCAGAGGACTCTCAAGAGCCTCCTCCAGCACCCCAATTCAAAAACATCAGTTCTTCAGCGGTCAGCTTTCTTTACAGTCCAGCTCTCACTTTAATGTCTCAAATTAATTCCAGAAGCAATTAATCATGACTTAACGACTGAACAATACAATACAGAAGAAGCATGAGACAAATCTGCATAACTCTGAAGAGGGAGAATGTGGAGTGCAATTGGAGATACCTGATTTTCATGAAAATAAAGTACAGTGGTGCCTCGCTTAGCGATGTTAATTCGTGCAGGAAAAAACGTTGCTAAGCGATTTCATCGCTAAACGGAATTAAAAAGCCCACAGAAATGCATTAAACGCCATTAATGCATTCCTATGGGCTTCAAAACTAACCTTAAAGCGAGGATCCTCCATAGGGGCAGCCATTTTCGGTGCCTCTAAAGTGAGGACACACAGCGGGCGGCCATTTTGTTTACCTGGCGGCCATTTTGAAACTGCCGATCAGCTGGCTGAAAATGGGGGCTTTG